TCCTGGTGCCAGTATATACTGTTCAGCAAAACTCAAGTCTTCAATAAGGTTTCTTGACTGAAAGAATGAATGTGTGAGTGAATAAAGACAGAAAATTTAAAACTCATAGTCTGAATAACCACCCACCCCCATATTCTACATTGCCCCCCCACATGGAATTATGTAACTGATTTCCTAATTCACTAAAAAAAAATGAACATTCTCCCGGAGTAGTAAACAAGCATATGGTATTTTTCCTTATAGAATATTCTGTAATACCCATCAATACTGACCTGAGTGGGGAGACAAAGATTCTGAATCCAATATAGTACAGAAAAAGCTCTTTAATACATTTTTTTTTTCCAGGCAAAAGACCTTCAGAAAATGTCCATCATTAAGTAGATTTACAAATGGCACTTTTGGCTACATAAGAGAATCAGATATGAGTCCCAGGTGTTTTCTCTGATAAGTTAGTAGTAGATCAGCTTTATAATGCAACCCTTTCTTAGGATTGAAAAATGGCTAATTTGTTTAAAAGACAGGAAAAGCTGGAATCTTAAGGTCATTGTTTTAAAAAATGTAACATTTATTTCATGCTATACTTCTATGTGTTTTCATACAATAATTTCAAGTATTATATTGTAATTTTTAATAAAGGGAACAAATAAATCTCAACCTAATTTTAAAATAAAGATATATATTAAGTATATTTATTAATGCATGTGACAATACCATATACTATCTTTGATGATGAACTTCATTTTGGTACATGGCAGATTTGTCCTTTTGGTACTGAACTGAAGAAAAACACATTACACCTGAAATTTTTCCTTAAATAAGTAAACCATGGTCAACATCAATAGATTTCAACCAATTAGCAAAACTGAAATGTTTTAGAATTATTCTGATCATTTACAATCAAAATGAAACAGAATTAACACTCAAGAGGAGAGAATACTTAATATCATCAGTTTAAAATAGGTCTTGAAAGCAGATTATTTTCACAACATATTAGAAAGGAAGGAGTATTTGGAAATGTAAGACTTCAATTTAAAGTGAAAGCAGTGACATTTTTAGTATTAAGTCCTCTCCCTCCAACACAGTCACCTTTTATAAGACAGCGTGAAATTGATCAAAGTTGATCACATCTAATCTATGCAAAGATGGATATCTCCTTCATGTTATCCACCACTTCTCAACTAGTCTCCTTTTTAATTTACGCTATTATTTAACAGATTAATAATAAAACATCAGACAATAGAATTAACCCAAAACGCAATTGTACTCTTCTCTCCACAACAGAGCATGGCTTTCAAATTTGCACTAGGCTAATGAAGAAACAACCACTTTCATCTCTATCACAAAAATAAACACATCACACAAACACCTGAAAAGTCAGAAGTGATTTTTAAGGGAGCAAAGAAAGACATTTCAGAGGTTCTCAATGACTGAAACCTCATATACTTCTCTATTTGAAGATTATACTCACAGACACACACATATATATATGAAATAAAAGTTCTTAGAAACACTGTTTATTGTTAATTAAGGATAATTCTTGGTGTTACATTTAGAAAGGGGGTTTTAAAATTTTAAAGCAGGACAGCTGTGAAGATATCAGGCAAAATATTTATTTTTTTATGATTATGACTTAACAAACCAAGACCTGAGTCTATTAAAATATATTCCCTTACCTTCACAGGTACATAGCACTGCTCTCATTTTATGAATAGCCCAAAGCCACCCTCTCCTCACAAGGCTACACCATAAAGGCCATAGGGCTGAAAGGCAGGAGACTGGCATTTGGCACAAGCTCTGACCCAACAAACTTCACGACGTGCCACGTGACCACTCCATACCTCAGTTTCCTCATCGGTCAAATGAAAAGACTAAACTGTGCTCCACGTGGCCCTGTGTAGTACTATCATTTTAGGATTTTCTGACTTCGAAATTTTCATTAGGCACTAGGCTTTATTCACAACTTAATATTACACTTCTGCCCAGTGGTTGGTCAGTAATTTGCATCTGGATAGCCAAAAACTGCCCATAACCAGGTAACCTCTTGGGCCTTTACTCAACAAATAGTGGGTAACTACTCTTGGTGGCTTAAAAATGGCTAAAATTCTTTAAAGCTCTTTTCAGCAAAAGGTAGAGTCTATTTCTCCACCCCCTGATTCTGGGCTAGCTTTGTAACTTGGTTTGGCTCTTAAAATTGTGGGAGTATGACATCGTGTAACTTCCAAGCAAGTTGAGAAAAGGACTTGCAATTTCTGTTCTCACCCTCTTCAGTGTCAGATCTCAGCCTGGGGAAAGGCCAGGTGGATGGAACTGAAGCACCTCAGCCAATAGCCCCAGCCAACTTCGAGACATGCATGAGGCCATCCAAGATCAACCAGCCTCCAACCAACCTGCTCACTGACCACAAATGTGTGTGGAGAGCCAACCGGCTCCCACAGAGAACCAGCAAAGTTCTGCCAACATTGCCAACTGGTAGGATCATGAGCAAATAAATGGTGTTGTTACAAGCCATGATTTGAGGTGGTTTGTTAGACAACAAGGGAGAGCTGACACATTACTCTGGGTCAGGAACTGTGCTGGGTGAAGGAAATACCCTGGGTACCAAGACACAGTACCTGTTCTGCAGATGCTTAGAGTCTAGTTAAGGAAACAGACAGTAACTAGACAATTTCAAAGGAAAGGGAAGTTCTATTAGGTCAGGGTCCAAGATAATGGGTAATGCGGGCAAGAAGAAGATGCTATTTCTTGAAAGACATTCCTTCTTCTTTTGTCAATTAATGAATACCTGAGGACAGAAAGCGTTTAAGATTCATCTTTTAAAGATGTTATAAAAAATTTTTTAAAAGCTAAGTGGTAAGGTCTCTCACTTACTAATTGTGTGGCCTTGGGCATGTGACTAACCTCTTTATGAGTCAGTTTCCTCATCTGTAAAATGGGAATGATGATGGTATTGGACTCACAGGTCAATAAGGACAAACAATGTAAAGTCTTAGCACAGCACCTGGCACAAAATAAGCCCTCAATATAAGGTCCCTAAATGGGGAAACATTGGGGGCAGGTGGATAGTATGGACTGTAGCATTAAATAAACCTGTGTTTGAATTCAGCCTACATCACTTAGTAGTTCTTGCAGCTGTATGATCTTAGAGAACATTTTTAATCTTGCTCAGACTTAGTTTCCACATCTGAAAAATGTGGGTGTTAATATCTACCTTGTAAGGTTGCGATGGGGGTTAAAAGAGATCTATACGTTAAATGACGTCGCACAGAGCCTGGCATACAGTATAAATGCACACACACGGAGGCCATATTTCTCAAACGTAGATCAACAGTATTAACGTTACACATTCTATATTACTTCAAAATCCTATTCTCTGACTAAAGCTACAGATCAGAAAAGTTGGCTTACCAGAAATATATATATGTAACATGTTGAGCATGGTAAGTCCACCCACCAGTATCAGCACATTAGGATAACCTATCACAAAGAGATGACTGAGGTGCAACACTCATATTTTATTTTGTTAATCCATGATAAGAAAGCAACCTCATTGTTCAGATTCATTATTTGAAATGAAGAAGAATTTAGCATTCCCTGACTCCCGAATTTGGCACATTGAGGAATTTCCTCTGTATATCAAGCCCCAAAATGCACTCCTTTCTAGACTAAAAAAGAAAACACGCATACATAAAAATGAGCTGATAAGTTACAACACAAGATGGTGATTTTGGTGAAAAATAATCCTCCCCAAATAAGCAGCATGTCATGTCTTTAGAATAGGTTACACTAGAAAGCTAGTAAAAATTCAGGCTAAGGAGGCAGTTTAGAGTTTCAAGTTTTATCATATATGGGCCAAGTTGTAGAATACATCCCTTAAAAAGGGACACCTTGAACGTGAAATCTTGCCAGAAGGCTTGATTTTAATTATGTGTGTATATACAAACGTCTTTTTTAACATTCAACATATTTGGGGTTAATTCTAGAAAGCTGTTGTAGCTGATTTATAGAACACAATGATTTAGGCTCAGAAAGAGGAAATGGGGCAAATAATTTTAAATAGCATCTCTTTATCTACCCCCACCCAGAGCATCACAAAGGTTTTGTGTTTTTGTTTTTTAGCTAATGCCATAACTGAAACATGTGTTGAATTAAAAGTTGATACTTAAAGCAGGGATTAAGAAAAAGTCATGGCCAGGTGCGGTGGCTCACACCTGTAATCCTAGCATCTTGGGAGGCCACGGTGGGAGGATCACTTGAGGTCAGGAGTTCAAGACCAGCCTGAGCAAGAATGAGACCCCATCTCTACTAAAAATAGAAAAAATTAGCCCAGTGTGGTGGACGCTCCTGTAGTCCCAGCTACTTGGGAGGCTGAGGCAGGAGGATCTCTTGAGCCCAGGAGTCTGAGGTTGCTGTGAGCTAGAATGATGCCACCACACTCTACCCAGGGCAACAGAGCAAGACTCTGTCTCAAAAAAAAAAAAAAAAAAAAAAAAATCATACTTTGGATGGCTTTTAAGCACACTTGAATGCATTAGAACCTTCTCAAAAATGTTAATGAACATATCATACTCCTTTGGATGATACTTTAATTCGAATCTTGGTGAAATCAAGATTCTCTATTAAACAGCTCCATGGCAATTTTGGTGAGAGTACAGTTAAAGTCTGTACCAACTACTCTGTTGATTCTTAAGAAGGGGATTTTAGCACATTTACCTGTTTGGGCTGGAGAAACATTACAACAACTTGCTGCAAACTAAGAGAAAAAAAAAAACAATGAATGAAAACTGCAAATAGAAATCTAGTAAGGCAATTCTATCACGTAGGAAAACTCTTATTTCCCAAATGTTTTCTATGCTGACATTTTTTTTTTTCTCAAGATATGTTACCCGGTTCTTCCACATTCGAACAGTGTATGAAACTCAACTTAAGATGTATATGAATGGAGAAAAGATTTGTATGTCCAAAACCATCCATTTGCATGGAAGTCTTGTCATTGCATTGCTTTGCTTCATCTGACTTTGATCACCCACAGGCCACTGGCGGGCTGGGAGGTCCAGCTGCTCAGTGCTCCAACTCCTCCATGACTTCCATGACGATGGTCCGGGGGCCTGTGAGAATCAGGTTGCTCACTGTCCGGTAGTCTACATGCAACACATTGAGCCCATTGACAGAGACGACAAACTGACAGACCTAAAGGAAAGATGGAAAGACAGAGCATCTATTACAGCTCCTGATTTTTCACAGACCTTTAATAAAAATAGTGTAGAGCCCTAACTGGTAACTTCATTCTTAAAATATCCAACTGCACCCAGCTGACAACTCCAATTCAATAATTTCTAAGGAGGTACACTTTTTCTGGAAGGTAGTATAATAGAAAAAATATATATATTTGCTTTAGAATTTTACAAAATTAGGCTTAAATCCCAACTTAGAAACTTACTAGCTTAAGCCAGGTATTTAAATTTCTGAGCTTTATTTTCCTCAACTCTGAAATAGGAATGAATAGTAATAATAACAATACCTACCTTATAAGACTGTTGTAAGAATTAAATGAGGTAAAGCATATAAAGCTTCTACCACAGTGCTCCAAACTTGTACAGTGCTGAAGGCTGTTATTATTCCCATGGACTTAACATATACGGAGACCCTATGGCCCAGTGTTCCCTGAACAGTCCTCTTTTACAAAACCTATTGTTCCTGCATGATTATTAATAGTGCCTCCTTTCACTCGGCAAAGTACTCAGTTGAGATCATAAATTCCATACTTTCCCTACTTCTCATCCTTATAAAAAGGGCTGAGGTCAATGAAGGTTGGCTCTTCTCCTGAGTGAGTGTTGGTGAACCTGCGGTAGGAGAGACAATTCCAATACAACGAAAAGCATCATTCAGTTACTCAGTTATGAGCAGCCACTCTGGATGTGTTACAGTGAGCTTGATATGGAGCCACAGCTACTGCCCCAAATGGAGGCATTTCTTTTGAGGTTAATGTGGCACCAGAGGCTGGCACAAATTAACAGATGATCCATCTGTCATGTGCTTGAAGAGGTGGACATCGAACATGAGTGATTTATGTCACTCGTACAGAAAAATGGAGAGATACACAGGTGTCAGTGATAAGTACATCTAATTAACAAAGTCACCAAACAGAATATAAATATGTAGGCATATAGTAGGTACTTGTGGCAAGCAAAATAACTCCCCCACCCTCCAAAAATGTCCACGTCCTAATCCCTGGAACCTTGAATAGCTATCGTGGCAATAGGGAATCATGATTGCAGATGGAATTAGATTGCTAATTAGCTGACTTAAACATAGGGAGATCATCCTGGATCATCTAGCTGGGCCCAAAGTAATAGGGACTTTATAAGGGTCCTTCTAAAAAAGAGGTAAGAAGGTCAAAGACAGAAATAGGAGATTTGACAACAAAAATAAGAGGTTGGAATGATTCGAGGAAGAGGCCAGGAGCCAAGGAATGCAGGCAGCCTCTAGAAACTGAAAAAAGCAAGCACACAAGAAACATTCTCCCCTCACAACCTCCAGAAGGAATGTAGACCTGCTGACACCTTGATTTGAGGCTTCTGACCTCTAGACCTGTAAGGTAATAAATTTGTGCAGTTTTAAACCACAAGAATTTAATTTGTTACAGCAGTCATAGGGAATTAATGACAGACTCAATAAATATTCAGTGTTGAATGAATTGAATGACTAAATGTATAAGCAAAAAGTGTAATTAGGATTGAGCCTGAAGGCTTTCTTGCTCCTTATAAATTATCATTTTTCTTACTAGGCAAAAAAGAAAATAAAGCAGGGCAGGGTGGCTCACCCCTGTAATCCCAGCACTTTGGGAGGCCAAGGTGGGAGGATTGCTTGAGGCCAGAAGTTTGAGACCAGCCTGAGCAAGAGTGAGACCCCCATCTCTACAAAAAAATAAAAAAATTAGCTGGGCATGGTGGTGCACATCTGCAGTCCCAGGTACTTGAGAGGCTGAGGCAGGAGGATCACTTGAGCCCAGGATTTTGAGGTTGCAGTGAGCTATCACCAAGCCACTGCACTCTAGCCTGGGTGACAGAGAGAGACCCTGTCTCAAAAAGAAAAAAAAAAGTTATTAATGGACACATCTGCTCCCAATTATTAATTAATTAATTCAGTGTTGAGGACTCAACCGAAGAATGTGGAAAATACTAAAACACTTAGGAAACTGTTTCCTTTTATTTTTTTCTGAATGGGTGCTATCAATATAAACTTAAACACTGTAAGTCTAAAAATATCTATACACCATAATTGGAGAGTATTAAAAGGACAGCTCTGTAAATGCATAAAATAACCTGGAATTTGGAATCCAAAAATACAAATTTAAGTCTTAGGCCCCTTTGCTGGATGACCTTAACCAAGTCATTTCTCCTTTTCTGTGTCTCAATGATATAAATATGTCTTATTTATAAAACAAAGTTAGGTAAAAATGCCTGTCCTCACAGTTTCAAATTAGATAATCCATTTAAAACCTCTTGGCAAATAACAAGCACTACACCAGTGCTGGGTTCTATTAATTTCTTTCCCTTTAAAAATATCCACTTCCTTCACAATTACATGCAAAACAAAATGAAAAGTGGACAGAATAGTAGCAGAGTGATTATTTGTCAATAAACACTTGTTATCATAAACCTCAATATTTTCCACTCCTAACGTCCATTATTAGGTGTTTTCTCTACATAAGGGGATCACACAATCACTTTTTCTCCTTTCTTATTACCACAGATTTGTCCTCATGGATTCAGGGCACATCTTATACAAAATCAGCAGTTCTCAACCATGGTTGAGGTGGTAGTCATAATTGAGGTCACACTAGTAGGTCATAATCTATCCTGAACTAGGCCACAGCAATTTGCAAGACAAGTTAGCACTAATTTAATGTAGACATCAGCCTGTACTTTGTTTATTCTGCTGATGTAGAATTATGAGCCAAAGAATGAGAAGTATTTTGACTCCCCCTGACCCAGAGCTTTAGAATTTAGGCTCGGGCCCTTCTTTCCTCCAAGGGGATGACAGCCTTTTTGTGTTGCCAAACGAAAGGGCTGGAATTACCAGGGGAGCACCTGCCCCAGGTGACCCTTCTCAGGCTCCTGGAGATGAGATGTGTCTCTGTATCATGCAGAGATCACAATGCGGCATTGAGCGTTAACCACAAGTCTGTGTTGTCTGTCCCACATACTGCTTGTTTTAATTGACCAATGTTTAGAAATTAGAAAATCTTCGCATAAAAAAATCCACATTCTGGCCTCTTTGGGACAATCTGAAGATCTGATATCACCAGGTCTGGATGGCCACGTGACCATGCGTGAGTAGAGGCTGCCGTTTCTAAACGGGGCACATGCACTCTCCTATGACATAGTCCAGACAGCTTCCTACTTTTCTCATACCCGCATGACAGGCATGTGAGTTTGTGGTCCCTGATCTGGGGCTACCAGAGAGAAAGAGCTGAAGACAGGACAGATTGAATCTTCAAGAACTAAAGGACCCGAATGTTCATCAACCGATGAAAAGAGAAATAAAATTTGGTATGTTTACACAACGGAATATTATTCAGCAATAAACTGGAACAAACTACAAGCTATGACATGGATGAGCCTTGAAACCGGGATGCTAAGCGAAAGAAGCCAGTCACAATAGACCATATACTGTAAGAGCCCATTTGTATGAAATGTCCAGAATAGGCAAAGTCACAGACACAGAAAGTAGATTATTGGTTGTCTAGAGCTGGGAGCAGCGGCGGTGGGGTGGGGTGTAGATGTGATTGCTAAGGGGAACGGAATTTCTTTTAGGGGTGATGTGGTGGTGACTGTGGTGATGGTTACATAACGCGGTGAACATACTAAAAAACTACTGAATTGTACACTTTACATGGGTAAATTGTATGGTATGTGAACTGTATCTCCACAAAGCTTTTAGTAAACACAACCAAACAAAACAAAAGTGAAGGGAAGAGGGGCCTGATGCCAGCAGTGGGTAGATCCTGAAGACTGGAGGGAGAGGTTGCAGGGTTTGGTTCAAAGATGAGGTCCTGTGCACCTCTTGATTGTGGGGCGCCTAGAGGCTACCAAAGCCGGGATGGTGAAGGCTATGTGCTTGGGAGGATGAGCATTTGCTGACCATTACTCAGGAGCTAGCCCAGGTGCTCAGGGGTGGGAAAGGGGCAGCCAGCAGGGCCGGCTGACCAAGGACCAGTGGTCAGGGTCCTAACACTGGTGAGGGTCCATTTTACTGGATTGCCTATAAGCCCTCAGGTGGGGGCTGGGGTGGGGGTGGGGGATGGGCAAGGGGGCATCAAAATGATCTGATATTGCACCTGTCATCAACCTTGGTGAGTGGTGACTTGAACAGAAGTTAATTTTAGAAAAATAAAAAAGGAAGTCATTTACTGTTTTTGTGTTGTACATGTGCACACACACATTTCTCAAATGCCAAGGTTTGTGACTGATTTACTCTTTCATAAAATAAGGCTGATTCCAGGCTACCCTAGGCGTAAAGACAGTCTCACTCCCTTGTATTCCCACATGCTCTCCCAAGTGGCACCAGCAAGAGCGGGGCCAGAGCAAGAGCCCCGTGCATCGCTCGTATCCCACAATCCTTTATACCTGTGCGGCCCCTGAGCACGCCTCTGGGTGTATAGAGATCAGGTGAGGACCCTCTGTCACAGGGGTAATGGGGAAACAGACTAAGATCTGGTACCAACTAGCGTGCAGATAACTTAAAAAAAAATAAAGATTTAAATACCAGAGTCCTTGCCTTCATGAAGCTGACAATTTAGTTTAGGAGGCAGAGTATCACAGACAGGATCCTTTTCAAAATAGCAGGCCACTTCTCAAAAAATTCTGTCATTTATTGGAAACCCATTCTTTTCCAAGCATCAATCCATGACCTTTACATACGTAATCAAAAATCCTCCTCAAAGCCATGTGGTGACACATTTGTTGGGTTTTGGCCATCCAGCTGTCATTCCGCTACAATTGACTCGAATCATTTCTGAACATCACCTTTGTTCTACTGTGGGCAATCTGTATAGAATGCCAACCAAAATGTCCCCCACCCCATTCATGGGGTCACCTGACCCAAGCTTTGCCACTCAGTGCTCTCTCCCGGACCACCGACTCTGGAGCTGGGTAACACGAGAGCAAGTTCATTTGCTGTGGTCC